TCAAGGGTCTGTTTGTGAGAACAGGAACAGCTTGCTTTTTGACAAGCGGGATTTTAACTTCATTTAGCTTACCATCCTCCCATCTTATTCGTATCGTGCTGTGCTCCATTGAAATGGCATGTGTCCATGTAATGTCTAAAGTATGGTGGATGGGAGCTACAGAAACCTTCAAACATAATCGTTTCTCTCTGTCTCTTCACAATCCTCCCCGGTGTGCATCACAGCTTCAAGACACAACTCTTAATACTCCTCGGAGGAATTTACAGTGAGCGTGTGTGCTCATGAATAAAGATGTCAGGGCTGACAGTGCTGTGACTGGGAATGAGCAGCTTACAGAGTAAATGCATTAAACTGGTATGGAGGACACAATCCACACGCTCCCACTGCTATAGGGGAATGAAAGATTCATGGCATCCTTTAGAGCGACGGCCATATTGATTCAAGTCGCTCTTCAAAATGAAGCTGATGGGTGGAAAGTGGATGTATTCAATGCCTTCCCTCCGAACTGTATTTCAAGTTATCAGTCCTCATGGAAATCATTTAATCCTTTGTATTAAACCCCTCCATTTTGCAAGCACCGGCTGTACGTCACAAACACAAAGGAATGTTTTAAAAAAAAACATAAAATAAACCAGTTACCAGTATTCCCTCTTTCTCTTTCTCCCTGTTCAGTCTAAATATTGGTTAAATTATGATCTGCAGTGTGACATAGTATAGTTTGTTTTTGTCCATCAATAACTGCTGTGGGAGATCTTGGGGAAAAAAAGTAAGGTCAGGATTTGAGGAAGCCGTGTGACATCAGGAGCAACAAAGCTTTGGCTCTTTTCACTGAAAAGGCATAAAGTTAAGCTGCTTATGCGTATGCTTCTAAATTAAAAGTAGTGGAACAAAGGGGGCCGTGGGATCACAGCAAAGGCCTTCAGCACAGGGGCCTTTTTTGTTTTTTAATTTTGTGTTCCCCTCTATGTGAACAACCAAGACGGGTTGTGAGAGGAGATACCACACACGCAGTCTTCCTCCGACGAGGATACATAATCAATGAGTTAAATGCTTTCCCCTGATGGCTTTGCAAAGCTATCCTATTCCACGGGGTGTAATAATACTTTGTACCTGAATGAGTGTTAACAAAAGGAAGCTGACACCGTGCAGAGAGAAGTTAAATGGATAATGGCTACATAACAGCGGCAGCTTAGCTAACCGTGCTGAATGATCCGGGACATGTGGTATGCGTGGGTGCAGGGTTTCATAGGTGACTCCCCACTGAGGGGACTGAAGGGCCGCGTTCCCCCGCTGAGGGTTTAGTGGCAGGGGAGCGAGAGGACAGGGGGACACGGAGTGTCTACAGTGCACAAGGTGCAAGGTGTGCTGCAGGACACTTGGATGACTACCCTCCAAAAGAGCACATCCATTTTTCATCATGCTTAGCCCTCCTTGGTGTCTTGCAGTATGAAGTGAAACACATACAGAGCTTTCCTCATCAGGTTTCATTTGTTGAAGCTTTTCCAAGTAGATGTAGCAAATTAAAAAGCACACAGTGAACCTTTCCATCTCAAAGAGAAGACATGCATAGCAGATTCATTACAGGAACATTTGCATATTTTTTTACGTAATGCATGGTTTGGTAACATTGCTGATCATAATTAAGATGTGAAACAAGTTTATGGTAAAGGAGGAGCAGATGGATCTTTGAACATTATAACAATACAGGTCTCACTTTGCATTGGATAGGAATGTTCATCCATAGGCTATTTTTAGCTCATGGGATGCTTGTACTGGAGGTGGTAATCTAATATTCCTCTCCATACCATCTGTGTTTTTCTCTTAATCATTTTACTGTATGCTAAGTGCAAGTTGTACCATCCATTGCAGTCAATCCAGCAAACATTTGTGCCAAATTTAACAGACTAAAAGATCACGGAGCAAAATATCATGAATTGATAAACAAAAATGAAATGTAGTTTGAGCAACCGCTGCTAGTTATCCCTGATGGCTCTGGAGACACTGATTGAAGATGAAATTAGGCCATGCTGCGTAGCTTACAGCGGTCTCACTGAGGCGAGATATTGCCACAAGACCCAAGGACTCTAAACAAAGGGTTAGCTTGCATAGCCTCTCCCAACATGCCCTAGTCCCGATTGGCTATGCCCCAGTAACGTTGCGTATTGGCTTAAGCAGAATAGCCTTAAACGAGAAACATGTCAGATTTCATTATACAAGACTTACTACCAGGCAGTAGTCTGGGGCTGTACTGTTTAAAAGCTGCAGTTGTGGATAGTACATTGGTAGGAAGATATAACAACAAAAATCAGCGCTCAACAATATTACTCATGTTTCCCCCTGAAGTAGATCAGCTTATGCAGATTAATACGAAGCCTCAGTACATCAAATTTAAAAAACGGGGTTCAAATAGCTTCTCTTATTTTGAGATAAGATTTAAAAATGTGTGCATCGGTACGCGCACTACTACATAAACACTTCTACATAAACACTTCTACTATATATTTATGTATCTTCAAGACATCTTATACTTTCATCACAACTCTGTTTGACCTGTCAGTCATTGTAAGAGTGGCCAAAGGATCACTTGATTAAGCAGCAATGTTTTAATAATTGATGATGGAAATACAATCTAGAGTAATGAAATTTCCATCATGAAAAGGGAGCTAGTCTTAATACACTGTCCATTCATTCAAGCAGGTGTAAATAACATTTCTTGGCTAGCAGGGAAACACTCTATATAAAGGTCAGGGAATTAATGGACACACACTGGCACAAACTGCTCTCACTGTCAATGATGTTAACCATGTCCAGCAGCTATGGCTATGTTTGGACAGTATTGTTGTGCTGATTTGAGTGTTGCAAGAGAATAGGAACGTTAGATAGCCTAAAACCAAAACGGTCAGCAGTCTTCGGAAGCACGCATACTGTACACCACAGCTTATTTTAATCATATGACAGAGCCTGCTATATGGTACAAGAAAAGACACATTCACCAATTTTGTGTTATAACTCAGTTCAGTATATTTGCTGTGCTTTTCTTTATTCCATGTATGTTCTGCCAAATTAGTAAATGTGTTTCCTAATTTCCCAGATGAGTCCCCATTTTTCACAGTCTAAGAGCAGAGCTGTTACAATGTTAGATTTAATCGCTCGATTTAATTTGATTTAATGCGTTGTATGCATCGTCAAATTGAAGTTTTTTCATTACCATGTGCTTTTTTCCCCCCTACGTTGCAGTGAATGCTTGTCAAACACTAGTTTGTACAAAGTAGGACTAGTACTGTACAAAGAGTATACCTGTTCAAAAAATCCAAAGGTGGGTCGAGAAGTCTGCCATAGTGAGGGGCATGAAACATACAAACAAGACGGGCCACACTTTACTTACTTGAAGGCACAACTTGAATGAGTTTAAAATGCCGTACAATTGATTATTGAAAAAAAAACACACACTGATGATGAATCAGTATATTCCCTGTTGAGTGTTTGTATCTCCAGCGCATGTTGTTTACATCGTCAGTTTTTATTCTGTTATTTTCATAAATCCACTATTATTTCCCAGTGAATCTGGAAAAGACCATAGCTTCTCATAACACTGTCTGACGGTTTTGTTCATCTTGACACTTTAGCTGAGAAGTCATGTCTGCCAAGGCAAATTGTCAGTCAACAGTGAGTAGCATCGCAGATTTCAAAAGTGGGATCTCTTCCATCTGAATTCAGTTTTTATTCACATAGTATTCAATGGCTTGAGTTTAACTTAAAATGTAAAGATAGATTTTAATTGTATTCACATCACAAAATGTTTGGTAAAGACTTAAAGACTAAACACTATGATTTTTACATGGTACTATATGATGAATCAGTATTTTCACTGGATAAAACAATTAAGGTTTTGTTGAATAATTATATATAAGGAGGAGAAAATCACATCAAAGGGCGATCATTTTTCCCACCAAAAGACCTTCATTAGTCTCTTGACCTTTGTTGAAGGTCATAAAGGAGATGAATAACACAGTTGTTCCCAATCAATGAGTGAGTCTTTCTTCAGGTCATGAGAAGCTCTGCTGATCACATGGCTTACTGCCACTGATTTTGGGTGGAGGGAAGAAAAGCTCTCCCTGTTTCATTCGCAAATAGTTCCTTTTGCAGGGTAAGAGCACTGAGGGCAATTACGCAAGTTTACAGAATAATAAAGAATGCAGTGATAAGAATATATCATCAGATCAAATTTAGAGCTTCCCAGTCTGCTGATTCAACGTAGCAGTTTTAAAGAAGCTTCCCTTTGATCCATTTTGGTAGAGGTGACATTCAGCAGGATACCAGATGAGAAGAGACCCCCATGGTTTAGCCTTTAAGCATGACCATTGTTTCCCCATCTGGTGAGGAAAACTCAAGCCCAGAAATGTTTCTGCTGAATTTACCATCTTGGCTGTCCACAGAGACATTAGTATAGATGTGTATTACTCCTATTTCTTTCCTTTTACAGATGGGTGATTTTGGTGTTGACTTTATCAATGATAATTACTTTATCATTTATTCAGCATTTCATTCACATTTTGCATTTCCTTACAAATGTCTTACATTTTCTTAAATACTCTGTCAAGAAAGAAATATGTTTTAGAGAATGCATATATTTACATGTAAGCATACAACCAAGTAGCAGGGGACCCCTAATACTACATTTAGTGCACAGGTTATTGTGTTATTGTAAGTGTACTGACAATGGAGCAAAAAGGCATAATTTTTTCATATCTACATATAAACAACTAACCTCTGCTCTACACTGAGGCTGATGATATATCAGACAGGGAAGTCTAAACATTTAATAATGTTTAAAAACATGGGATTTGAAAACTACAAAAATGTAATATGCTTCAACATATAATTTCTTCTCTTGAGTGGCTTGTTAGAAAGGTGGAGGTACAGTATCTCAATCTACTTGGACATACTGTTCTCAATATATTGAACACTCACAACAACTATATAACTATATCATATTCACATTTTGGTTGAAAAAGAATAAAGAATATGTGGTTAGAAATCTGACATTAGATGATGATAATTAATGATAATACTAATCACTCCCTTAATTTTCCTGTCACCACTCCAGTGTTGACTTTTGAATAAAGGAAAAAATGGCCCAAAAATAACATCAATAAGTGCACATTTTTGGAGGGAACATTTTAAGGATTTATCACTAACAAGTTTAATTCCTGCAGGATTTATCAGATAGTTAAAAGTCGATAGTGAATAACTCTCGCTCACTTAGTTTCTCCTTCACTGTGAAAAATAAGCATACTGTTGAATCAAACAGATCAAAGTCAAAACCAAAAACGTTTCCTTTTATAGAAGGGACAATGTAGAATTAAGTGAAGGCTTTCTGGGAAATGCAGGAAAGTGCTTTTTATGAAAAAGGGATTTTCTGGGGAAGGACTCACAGTTCCCCAGCCCTCTAAGTACCGCTCTTCTACTTTACAACATAACATAACCAGGCACCCATGACACCAGACAAGATGGGTGTGGAGTGCACACCCGCTGGTCTCATTATCCACATACAGCACACACACAGGCATATGCACTACCGTACATAGTCCAATACAGCAACATTGAATTCTACCTGTATTCTCAAGTAATCTCAAATACTGTCCATTCTTATGTTTTCCATTTAATTAAAATCACATTATCATATTGTCAGTGGTGACAGTGCAGCATTACTTCTGGGAGTTTTGATGCAGAAAACCTTCCAACAGAACTCTGGCATGTTGAGGCAGACCGAGCTTGTTATATTTAGTCAGACAGCAAGTCTACTGCTAATGAATGCTGCTGGCAGGGTGTCTGTGAGCCCTGCGGAGATTACAGTGAACACTGGTAATATGTGTCCTCTGTGAGTAGGAGCAACACAACAAGCCAGACAGAAAGACAGACAGACCTACATAGGGAGACAAAGGGACGATTAGCATGTAAGACATTTTAATTTTATGGGCTAGACAACAAATATCACTATTGTTATTTTTTTTTTTTATTTAACTTTTTTTTAAAATATGTGATGTGGTTTTTTAAGTTCATTAAGTTCTGAGAATTTGAGTAATTTCAGAGATAAGAAAAATGTCAAACAGCTTTCTCCCATACCAGAGATGGTCACTGTGATATTGTATATAACCCCAGCTGTATAGTAGCTATTGTGCTGCAGTTTAGGGTCCAGTGAGAAGAAGGTTTTATTGGTGGGCAGTTGTTGCTGCAGGCATCAATAGCTTTCACTAACACAGCTAGAACCAATGCAGTTGAGAAACTGAGGTATTCTGGGCTCAAGACTAAGTTTAGATCACAGATTGTTTGCTGCTCCAGTGCCCCACATGATGCACTGTTCTGGTCATTATTCCTATGAGCACATTGCAATCCTCTAAATTGGCTGTAATCTGTCCTGCCTGTTTGATTTATTCTACTAAACCCTGCTGTCTGCACCGTACTGTGGCTCTTGCATTATATTTGTCCTGAACTTCTGCAAGCTTTGTCATTTTCGTGCAGTGTATTTTTCATTAAAATACAAGTTGTGCATCTGAGTGGGCTCACATAGACATGCAACACACATGAGCACAGACATATACTTTGTTTAACCCCCAGGATTACTTATTGTATCTCAACTATTTCATTTGTTCTGACATGCAAGACTTGACCTTTAAATCGGATTAACTTCTCCTCAGTTTTCCCAACATTCATGTAAAAGCAGAGAGAGGTGTTAGTCATTTGTATTTTTCTGTTTAATTAACATTGTAAATATTGGATTCCACAATGACTTGTCTGTGATAGTACTTCGAGTTGATAAATTTCGTTTGAGCATAATGTTTTTTTGTATAGTAATAAAGACATCTGGGGACATACTAACCTGTGTAACGATTACAGGCAGAAGAATGATGTATGATTATTTTTCTTTTTGACACTCTGTTTCTATTTCAGGGTCTGACTTTCAGTGTACCACCCATATAATCCCAGTGAAAAATGAGGAGGGCGTGGTGATGATGTTTATCCTAAATTTTGATTACGTTGTGGATGAGGAGAGTGACAACTCCACAGAGAAGATAAGCCCAACATCCCCTACAAAGTCAGACCAAAGTGAGTATTTGATATTCCATTCTTTCCTTACTATGATATAAAAGTACTTAAAAAGCATTTCTATGTAGCAAAAAAAAAATAAAAATGGGACTATTTTAGTCTTTGTTGGAAGGGTATTTTTTGTTTCCTTTTCTTAATTGTTTTATGTAGAAAGTTATTCTACACCAGTATTTTCTAGGCAAAACAAATCATGACATAGTGCCGTACCAAAAATGATGCATGGAATTGCATCTGTCATGCATTTGTTTCATTTTAATAAAAGAAATTTTTTCAAATAAAAAATGCACATTTTGTGAGATGGCACCATTCCTTCGAGCAGCAACAAGGACCTTACATTTTCTGGTGGCCCTTGTGGATGAAAGCGGTAGCGTTTCTACCACCTCATTTCATTTATTTCAAGAGGTTCACGACCCGGTGGCTATCTACAAACAGCCAATCTTCTCTCTGATGGTCTTGTGTGCTTGTGTAGGTCATAAAGAGGCATCAGTATTAAATTGAGACTGTTTCATAATGAGTCAAAATGTCCTTGTAGTAGGTAAAAACAACAAATTTCTCACTCCTTTAACAAAGGGCAGTTGCATAAGTGGATGGCTGCTTAGCCCCTAGAAATTAAGAAATTAAGCATCAGAGATTTTGATTCCTTGATATGCTCAGTGTAACCTCCAATCATGTTTCCAAAAAAGTGTGCATTACATAGTTTGCCAGTACAATGCAGTTTGAGTGGTCTGCTTACGTAACTATATCTTGTGAAATATGTTTAATTCTTAATCATTATGTCTGTTCTGTGTCTTTTTGGGAGAGCAGCATACACTTACACTACATGCATGTACTGCACCCTCATTTTTTTATGTCGATGTGTGTCAGTAGGTGTAAATGTCAATGAGACATTCCAGCTCCTCCCTGATTGGAGGCACTCAGCATCTCTTCTCTGACTGGAGCTCAGCTATCCACTTCACTCAGCATGAATTCCTCCAAGGCACTGGCATTAGGCTTCTGCTGTACTATGTGTGTATGTGTGTATGTGTGTATTCAAGTGCGTGCATGCATGCATATGCGTGTGCGCGCGTGCATTCATGTGTGTATCTGCTTATGTGTGAGTGAGTGCCTATGTCCGTTGCTAGCATTGCTAATCAGAGCTGATTGCTTGTGACAGTGCTTCAGCAGGGGGACCCGTGGGTAGATGGGCCAGATAAACATATGATGTGACTTTACATTACAGAGAGTCTTGACTACATGCACACATCACACATAAAGTATGACGTTACCTTTGTCTTTGGTCCATACATGACACCAGGGAATAAAAGTGTAATTTTAAGCTATATTTGGTTCGATTCAGAATTGCAATATGGCCAAGAGCAATATGCAAATTGCAGAAAATGCCATTTTTTGATCAAAGTACAATATGTGAGAAAACAGAATTATACTAAGGTACTCTAGTCCGAAGAGATGCCCTGGTATACAAATCTTGTTCTCTAGTTTTAAGAAAACCTGTTTGGTACAAACCCCATCATCATGATTTTAATATTGTTTTCAGTGAAAATAAAATTTTTGATGTAAAAACGATCATTACCACACTAATTGGGAATCAAATCACAGTCTCAATGTCTGTTTAAGTAACTAATATAATAATTTGATATTTTTACTATATCACATATCATATTGTCCACACCACATATTTCGTATTTCTTCAGATGTGTACTTATTATTAGTATTTAACAGCATTTAGACCATAACTCGACACAAAAAATTGGTACTGGCAGCTTTAAAAATTAAATACTTTAAGTTTATCAGGCCTTTAAAGTAGAGTGACAGAACTACAGAGGACAAACCTCCACATCAGCTCTTTTTACCAGAAATGATAAGGAAAACATTTCCAAATAGCCTTGCCATACATTTTAGTGTGGCAGCCTGTAAAAAGTGATTTTTGGACATTGGAGGGCTAATTATGATCCTGTGCTGACAGCAGGCAATAAGCCTGCAGGTGTCAACTAGCACAATATTGAGCCTGGAAGAGAGTAATCCCTCTTTCCCTCAGCTGCCATCTAGAACACACCATTCAGCAACCTCAACATGCCTTCGAGGCCTAAAACTAGAGACAATAGTTAGAAATTACTCAGCACAAAGATACACTGTTCAGTGCATAGAAACTTATTTTTACTGTTCAGTACACAACAGCATGCATATCATACATTGTACAATACAATTTACTCTCAGTTAAAACTTTAATTATAAAGGTTCTCCATCACTATGTTTACTCTCTTTGAATTATTTAACTCTTTAATTTCATACTGAGTGATATTCCAGCTATGTAATTGCTGCTGCACGCAGTGGAAATTATCCTTTTACTGCAGCGACTCCTGAATGGGTTAATTATACATATCAGTAAGAACTAACTAGATGCTGTTGTGGAAGAAACATATTTAAGCCAGAGAGTAAATATAGAAATCTGACATTTACAATTTTGTCAGTGGTTGCCTGAAACTCCATTAGAATCAATGAACTTTCAGCATAGAGGCCCAGCCAATCTATTTTCTTTCAATACCCAAAGATTCAAAGGATCAGAAGGTCCACTCCAAGCTCTCTCCTCATCCTATCCCTAAGGGCGAGCCTAGACACCCTGTGAAGGAAAATCATTGGAAAGTGACTGCCTATACAATCTAATTGTCTTGAATACTACCCACAGCTCATGAGCATGGCTGACGGCTGGAACATAAGTCAGCTGGTAAAACAAGAGCTTCTTCATTTTCAGCTCCACTTTTCAACAGTCCCATATAAACTCCACATCATTGCCACATCGATTGTCCTGTTAATCTTACACTCCATCTTGCCCTCACTTGTGAACAACTCCTTCCCTTGAAGTAGCAACTCACTCTCAGCTCAAATTGCAACAATCCCCTGTTTTCCAGCAGAATACAATGCTGGTGCTGGTGCTGATTTTCATCCTCGCCCATTTACACTCCCAGTAGCAAGAATACACATTTATTTTAAAGAGAATAGGTCAACATGTCTTAGTATTAGGATAAATCAACCCGCCTTGTATAGCATTCTCAGTCATCCAGGTAATAGCGTATTTGGAAGTACTTTATCATTTGCAGGAGTTGCTGTTTTATTCCTGAAGACATTTCGTCACTGAACCAAGAGATTTAATCAGTCCACTCTCTAGTACGGAGTGCCAAGTAGGTAAACCTCTTTAGATCATTTGCACTTAAGTCACACAAGAATCTTTCAGGCCACATAAGTTGTTAAGATCACATGACAGTTATGTGTGAGTCAATCCCATGAATTAGGGTGTGAATTGCTTTTAAATCTTTTTAACACCTCAGAAGAGATGCCAGGACAGCACTGTAAGCTGCTGATGAGCTTTTTTTTAGGAAAGCTTTAAGCAAGATCTAGTGAAAAAAACTTCAGTGACACACAACAATTAAATAACAGAAAACTAAAGAGGATCTTCCATAAACATCCCTGAGTTTTACAAACCCAAACCCAGCAAATCCAGTCCACCCTAATGACCATACACCCAGATATAAGCACAACGATGATCATACACAATCCAATAGACCCTTTTTCACAGCAGCCATTTTGACATGTAGGCGTTACCGTTGATACTAATTCAAGTTTCGTTCCATTTAGTGTAGCAGAGTCTTTTCAGTAAATCAACATGCACGATAGCAGCACCCTGACTCTGTTTGACCTGAATGGAACGAAACCTTAATTAGTTTAATTGGTAACATCTGTGTTTACCCGACTATTTCATGTCAAAATGGCTGCTGTGAAAAAGGTCTGTTCAAGCAGGAATGTACAGACCATTGACAGTATATATAATATACTGGGTACATATCCATAAATCAGTGAGACAAAACAACTGGTGAAGAAGCCCAACATGGCCCAATATGAGAGAGCAAATCTTAAATCTCAGCAGTCTACCATATATAAACAACAATAAGGCACAATCCTTTGAGGACACCAATGTAAATATTTTTGGCAGAGAAGACAAAAGGTTTAAAAGGTTTAAAAGCCATCTATGTCAAATTGGAACAATAAACTTTGACCAGAGGAAAGTGAGCAATAACAACTCAGCAACCTTGATGTTCTTTCCTAGGCTGCTGTACTCCTTCATACCTGTAACTCTAAAAATTGTCATGACTCTTATGTGATGTGAAGGTGTGAAAAACCAATAAGTTTAAAATCCTTAGACACCCCACAAATCAATAAAATTGATGAAGCCTCCTGAATGAGTAGTGACATGTCTTCGAGCCTAAAACAACAACTCTGGTTGTCTTTGATTTGGTACGTGTGGATACAAGACTCACCATTTCTCCCTCAGATATGTATAATGCATGTTTACTCACTTTACATGTTTATAGAATAATTTTTATTATTATTAAGTTTTACTGAAGCTAAAGAATTAGTTGGCTTTGGTTACAAGCACAATTGCCCCTCACTTTAAACAAGACAGAGTCAGTCAACAGCCATATGCTAGCGGCTCAGCAGGTGTAATGTTTACGATGTTCAACATATTAGTTGAATGTTTTAGCTACTTAGCAGTAAATACAAAGTACAGCTATTACAAAATACAAGCATTGAGCTGATGAAGGTGCAGAATTCAAGGACTCACCAAATTTCTGAGGGGAACATTAATGTGTGTACCAAATGTTATGGTGCGTGCATCTAATAATTGTTGAGAGGCTTCACTCAAAAACACAAATGTCAACCGCATGGTGGCACCAGAGGAAAAGTCAGGGAGCCAAAAAATAGTCAGTAGGCTTCATCCTTCAGGGACCATAACTATATGTACAAAATTGAATGCCTCTCCTTTAAAGAGTTGCTGAGATATATTTGTCTGGACCGGGTACCAACTGACACATCAACAGACCATCATTGCCATCCCTAGAGCCACGCCGCTACTGTTACTAAAAATAAAGCTCTTCTCTAAGTTGTTCTTCATTAAATGTGAAAAAAAATGTGACAACACTTACATACATTGTGTTGTATGTTATATACATTATACATTTAACAATTGTATTCCAACTGAATTATATATATATTATAAGTATTAGTAAAATATGGGTATAGTTTTTGCATTACACAGTACTATAACTACTGTAGAACAATATATGTTCTGGTCATGATGCCGTTATAGTAGGGCTCAGTTGTGATCATTTGTACTACAATGATTTACATTGCTCAACAAGGATATTTTCCTTAAGCCACTCTAACAACAAACCACATCTTCTTGGGTTGATATAAGCCAGACTTGTCCATACTAAAATATGTTATATGAGTATTATATAAGCATTCAGCCAGAGCAAAAGTACAGGTAACGCAGTGTCCCTGCAGAGAAAAGAACAGCATGGTTGTCCATATCTCCTGCCAGCTCAGGATGTCATTACGTTCCTCTCCAGGAAAGTTGTTGAGTGTCATGGCTCTATTGTAAGCTGCTATAGTTGTAACATCAGCACATTCGGCCAGGGAATGGAAACAGATGGCAGTGACGTTATGTAAGGAGGGTGCTGAGGGATGGGTCCCTCACGAGCGAGGCAGGGTTCACTTTCACTCTCTTTCTGTTGTTAATGAGCCAAAAGTTTCACTCTGTCCTGAGAAGTCATTAACATTTGCTTCTGAGTCCATTCTGAAAATGCGCCTTCTGTACAAGAAATGGGTTCCTGTCTCAAATCAATGAGGCATAATAAATCAATTGTGCTATCTTCTCTTTCTGCTTATGGGCACTGAAAGGAGATATGTTGCAATATGGCTAAAACCAAATCTCTTTTGATTTGTCTTCATTTCATAGTTTAGTGCAAAATGTTGAACACAAGGGGATACAATGTTCAGCTAAAGTTTTGTGAAAGATTTGAAGTTACAAAAGAGTTGCTCTGTTTGCCTGGGGACAAATACAGTATAGACATCTTATAACAGCTTAATTTGAAAAAAAGTAGACACCCAGCACTCTTGAGAAACCAGAATCAAATTGTGTTAATTTTATTAATCATAGCAGACATGTTTTCTCAACGTCGGGCCTCTGTGTACTTTTTTGAATCACTGTTCAACGAAGGTTTACATTATAACATAATAGACCATCATATAGTCAGGGATATTAGTGAGGGGCTCTACTGGTTCCACTATCATGACATTTGCAATTACTGAAAATAGGTCTGTGATTTGAGTGTTTTATCAGTCTTCACTTACAGACCTAGTCATATGTTTTAAGCTGAATAAACCTCTTATCCAGCAACAAATGTCATTGTTCATTCATACAAAAATGATTTAATGCTTTTGAGATGTTTTTATTGTATCAGTGCTGTACACTAAAATTGTATTCTTTCTCAATTTTTAGGGAGGAGTAGATTCTTCCGCTTCCGCCAGGCTGCTTTGAGCTTAATGAATACCAACAAGCAATCTCTTCCACAAGAGGACCCAGATGCTGTGATGGTGGACTCGCCCAAAGAGAATGAGGACTCAGTAGCCCTGCAGAACTTCCCCTCACCCACCAAGAGCCTTTGCAGTCCCATTGAGGCTAATGACACACATGGCCTCATTGGCTCAAGCCACCACTCTTCCCAGGCTAGCATCGGTCCTGAACCACTTGACCATTCATCCCCTAAACTCCCCTGGGAGAAGCTGTACCAGACAGAGCAACACCAGACCTCTACCACCCTGTCAAACACCTTCCCCAGAGGCAGTATCAACAGCATGAGGCGAGCCTCATCCGTCCATGAAATTGAAGGCTACTCCAATTCCAAAAGCGCATTCAGGGATCGTCATACAAATGAAGGTATGTACTACAGTGACTACTGTAAGTAAAGCTTATAGCTCCAATCTGCAATTAGTGTACACTGGCCCAGACATCACATTATATGAGTTCGCATTAGAATGCAGACCAATGTTAATGCAACCATATAACACTGTAACTTTACTTTTTGCCGTTATCTTTTCCTTACTGTGTATAGGTTTGTTAAAATGTTTTTTTTTTTCTTGATTTGCTCTGTCCATATAAGGCTGCCTTTAGACAATGGTAGCCATGTCAGAGGTAATCATGTATTTCTGCCCATGATTTCATTTCTCTGTGCTGTTTTGGAGCATGACTTTCAAGCAAGGCAATCAGCATAAATGCTCTTCACAGATCCACTTTTGGTGGACAGGTTGAGTGGGTTTGCTGCACTTAATTATGTAAAATGGTTGTACTTGTACCAATGTAGTTATTTTGTCACATCAGCAGTCTATAAAATCATATAATGTAATAATTTAAACGTCATATCTGTCTCATCATATGCTAATCAAAGCATTGCTTTTAAAGTAACCTGCATGAATGTATGTTTGTGTTATGTGATACCATGGTAGCTCTGCTAATGTGCTTCAAGCTACACATACCATTAAGCACACAGTATCTGTGGGAAAATCCAAAACAAATGCATTGCTATCCATAGGCCATCATAGTGTTAGGTTACAGAAATTCTTACTCAGTAGCTTTGTGTTGCCACACATAAAATTTCCTAAAATGATTTTTAGCAAGGACTGCACTTGCGCCAGTCCACCATACTGTTCACAAATCTGCATTGATGCATGCACCATGGTGATGAAAACAGGAGCACTGTAGGTGAAAACGTTGCTTTTAGGAACATGTAGAATTGCAAATCTTATGTCTCTAAATAAATCACCAGTTCTTCTAAATGTGTAATTGGTTTTAATTCACAGCTAAGTACTCAACCTTATTCTGGAAAACATAAGATAGCTGAGATGTAGTCCATTTCCCATTTGCAAAAAGTAGGCTAGCTAAATATTCCCTGTAGCTCCTCCACTATCCACTGATGCCAGAATACATTAGTCAGTGGTACTATTTGACTTGTAGGCTGCTACTGCACAGCTGGCTACATCAATACAGATCTTATATATTTTATAATCTTATATACAATTATACAGAGCACTATGTATCACTGTTATGTTACCTAAAATACATAAAACATGAAAATGAATCAGTCAAGCTGTCCTTTAATCTTTGTTTAATCTTTGTCCATGTTTGCAAAACCAAAAACTGATATCATTATTTCACTAAAATATTAATTGTAATTGCTTAAGCTCTTAAACTAATTTCCAATTTTATCAATGGATAGTTTGAAATATTGTGTAAGATTTTGTGAAATGTAAAAATAAGTTTACCAATGGTACTAACGTGACTGTTCTCTGTTCTAAACCAATAGGCCCTTTTAATCACATGAAGTCCAGCCTGCTTGGCTCTACCTCTGATTCTAACATCAACAAGTATAGCACCATCAACAAAATCCCTCTGATTGCACTCAACTTCCATGAGGGGACTGATAAGAAGACTCACTCGCCACCAACATCTGAGACAACCATCATAGCACCAAAGGTCAAAGACAGAACTCACAATGTCACCGAAAAAGTCACACAGGTGAGTCAGGAAGTCCCACTATTGGAGTATCTTCTGAAACATATTAACTTTATGCTAGCAGCTTATTGTCCTGTGACATCTGCAAATTGATCATTTTGAAATACATACTCACATAGGTGGAACCGAGGCAAAATCCTGAGCCACAATCTCGATAATCCTTGGTTTTGTATTTCAAAGATCAAAATTGGTGGGGTGTATGGGTGCGAAGCTGGCAAATGGATTATGTCTTTGTCACTGCACTAGTGACTTTGACTGTAGTCATTGGTTGGGGGTGCCTTCTGGGAGGGTTGTGGGATAGTGTGATATACTGATACACAGAACATGATATAGCCGGCAGGTGAAATTACTTGCTGGCAGGTGAAAATAAGCAGCTGGCGATTCCATGGCTACCCAGGTCAACAGTGGAGCAGTGGCATTAAGGACAAGAGTGAAGGGTAATTGAACATTCTTAATTGCTGAGAACAGCAAGGACATTCCACTGATCCCTCATCAAAAAGAAATTCATCTTTTTACGTGCAACCCCAGATGCAGGTTCATAACACCTCTGCTGGGATTCACCAGGGATTCAGTTTGTTTGTTCAAGGACAGTGCAACAGGACCAACACTTCCTGTCATATGGATGAAACAAGGGCTATCTGGTGGCACAATTCCATGTTGACGAGACTAGCAGCGCAGCTGATGCCAGCTTGCCAAGGACGGTTAAGCATGCAGGCATTCGTTGCAGATTTTGATTAGTGAATATTATATAATATGAATAAGTTTCATCTGATTACATCGAACAGAAAGCCAAAATAAATATACCTATATTTTTGGGATAACTTTAATCATTCTGAAAAACTCTAGAGGTAGGTAGAAATAGCCATGCACAGCAAATTTGAAAACTGTGTGTAGGTCAAACTACAGCAAGCGAGCAATGTTAACAATAACCAAGCACAATAGAGGCCTAGAAACCTTATATTGAAAGTTCTTTCAACAATGCTTTCTCATTCATAAATTAAGACAAACTATCATGAGTAAATGCTCTCCCCTCCCTGCTGACTTTAGCTTGGAGACACCACTGAGATGTGAACATTGCATCTACTAAATCTATAATTCATGTGTTGAAGATAGGGGGAATGTGCTGAAATGAATAGAAAGACCTGCTGCCCTCATCTTCACTCCTGCACTATTTTCTGCCATATAGAGACCCCACTCTCTTTGTCTGCCACTGCTTATTAAGCCAAAAAAAACGGGACAGCTTGGCCTTCCAGAGCACACTGAATAATTTACAATCCAGTCAGAGTTCATTCATGTGAGGAAATTAAAACAAATGTTTGCTCACCAAAATATAAGTTGAGAAATATCTATCGGAAGAGGTTTAGACAGCATTCCTCCACTTTATAATCTATACAGTAAATGCTTACAGTTTTTTTACCAAGAGTACAGAATGTGCCTTTTGCAAATGTGGAACGAGTCAGTGGCACATTATTCATGGTGCCAGGTGATGTACTTGTCATACTAGAGTGACTGCCTTTACCTAATACTGTTTGACTGCAGAGCACTTACATTAGTGTGTCCGTTGCTGTCAAATCAGTCCTTGAAGTGTGTGAGCTGGCCAAATGACCTGGTGGGCTTCAGTAATAATTATCATAAGAATCGATCAAATTGTCGAAGGGATGATCAACAAAACAGATTGCTTTTTGACCCACAAAGAGAAATTCTATTTATATCAATTTAGGCAGGTGACAAAAAATCAAGTTTTCATATTATTAGTGATCCTATTCAACTAAGAGGTTAACCCACATTAAAATAAAGTAAAGGGTTTCCTTACTGTTCTGATCCTCTCTTAACACTCCTCCAGGTCCTGTCACTCGGAGCTGATGTGCTGCCAGAGTACAAACTCCAGACAGCCCGCATTGACAAGTTCACCATCCTCCACTACAGCCCATTCAAAGCTGTGTGGGACTGGCTGATCCTGCTGCTGGTCATCTACACGGCAATCCTCACTCCCTACTCGGCTGCTTTTCTTCTTAATGACCAAGGGGAGCATAAGAGGCGTGAATGTGGATACTCCTGCAGCCCTCTTAATGTAGTGGATTTAATTGTGGACATTATGTTCATCATTGACATCCTCATAAACTTCAGGACCACTTACGTGAACCAGAACGAGGAGGTGGTCAGCGATCCAGCTAAGATAGCAATCCATTACTTTAAAGGCTGGTTCCTTATAGACATGGTGGCGGCAATCCCCTTTGACCTTCTTATCTTTGGCTCAGGATCAGATGAGGTATGTTATCTCTAATGCATATATTTTTTTACCTGTTTTTTTTTTTCTCCCAGGGAGCTTTACTGCATATCAACCCAGCCATGCTTGCACTGTTATCCATTCACTAAGTCCAGACTTGTTCCCCTGGGCCACTACTTAAAGCCTGAATCTTTCTGTCTCGGCTCTGAAAGGATTACTTTAAATTGCATGTTTGTTTGTTTTTTTCTTTTTCTTTTTTTCTTTTTTTTTTGAATGGTCCTCATTCTAGAATCCATTTACATGGATTAATGGCTTACCAAATGGCAATCAATGATGCATTTATGTGAGAAGCAGGCCAACAGGGCTGTGCGCACAGCTTACATGCAGATGTGAGATGGCCATTGGTAGGCTGGCTGCCAGGCCTGCTGGCTTGTTTGTTGGTAGGATATGTCCCCTCAGGCTCTGGATCCACTTCAGTGCTTTATCGTGCTTTGTAGGCACTCCATTACACCAGAAAAGCTCCTGATTATAAACCATAATCATCTTTTCGACCACCGCTGCTGCTGCTGAGTCAGTTGAGTGAATGACAACAAATCAAAAGGAAGATGGACATTTGTTCCTCTCACAACATAGTGTAACAATCAAATCACAGAACTGGCCTGGCAAATCTGCACAATTAGTTGCAAAAAACATTATTTTTTGACACTATTAACTTGATTTTCATTTCAAACACTCAAAAGGGAAAACTAGTCGTTTCCCTTTCAGGTCCATAAATAGTCATATACCGTGATAACATGCTGATACATTGCTGGCAGTCATAGCTTTACAGCTTGGTGTTTACAATTTTCAGACTGAACGTGCAAAGTCCCGCTCAACTGCATTCCCATTCAGAAAATAAAGGAACAGAGACAGTGGCAGATGGTTTTCACAAGGCTCATTTAATTTAGCAGCTTAATAAGACGGTTTTAACCTACAAGCGCCTAAGTAAACCTTTTGATTAGAGCTGGGAATATTTTTGAAATAGATTTCAATCAAAGTCTTGTTGCTTTCAAAACGACTTAGTCTTGCCAGAAGATTGAACGTACTGTGAGAGGCATTATGGAAAATTGGTACCATGCAGTGATTTGTTGATAATCATAATTATTATAGAAATAGACAAACAAAAGATTTATTTCAAGCTGTTTTACTGTGAGTGCGGAGGAAAAGAAGTTGAGTGCTTTGTCCCAACTTGAACCCCTTAAATGTTAGAGAGAGTTCCCATTAGAGAGGAACAGAGAGAGAGAGAGGGAATTGGGGTTGTAGTGCTGTGCAGCTGTGTTACATAATTGCTTGTGCAGGTACATTTAAGACTTAATTGAACTTTCATTAGAATGTAGAGTGCAGTGTGCTTGTAGGTTTAACCAATACGAGATTTTCTAATTAGTTTTTTTTCCTGATGTTTTTAGATAAGTTATATTTGTAAACCCAGCAGTAAAACAGGCATATATTATCATAAGTTGAGAAGCACAAAAACTACTGGTTTTCCTTTAAACTAAATTCAAATTAAGGGCTAACATACCAATAGACAAAAGTAGTCACACTGATGGGTATTTTGAGTTTCCAATACATAAAGGAGCCAGTCAAACACACTTAAGGCCTTTTTGTGCAAAACCACAGTGCTAACTATCAAAAAAACACAGCCATACATCAAGTTGTGAACACCAATAATTAAAATAAATAAATATTTAATTCTATTTTTGGGAGACCCAATTATTCATAAATAAATGCAGCCTACTGTACGTGACATAGCTGTTTTGGTGCTGCCAATTGTGGTAATTCAAAACATTTGCTGAAGGGTATGTTTGTGGTCATGGGAGAATAAAAAAATGTCAGTGGGATTACAAGTACGAGATAGGACACGAACCCGGACCACTAATGTCAAATGCAAAGGCTTAATTTGACACAGGGCAGATTGTCCCAAAACTGAGCTTAAAGGCAGTGCAACAGGCAATAATGTAGGTCTTCATCATGGATCTAATTTCAAAAGAAGAAACCTCACAGTATAGTCAGATGCCATATGTTATATTGAAAAAAACATTCTTTCCATGAGTTCTTATTGTACTCTTGGCTTTGCATAAATTCCTGCTTATGGCATCACTTAAACCAAGAGATATAGTGTAAATAAAGCTGAACAAAGAGAATGGTTGGTGGTGCGTTTTTTAAAAGAACACAGAAAAACCGTGTCATAAAAGGCTATGGAGATGTCTCTCCAAAAGTAACATAATGCAAAATGTAGTTTTGCTGTGCAGAATTATGAATGACAATGCTTAATAATGTCTGGATTCAAAAATAGTGAAACTATTGTTTAAACAAGTTTAACTTCATTCAGTAAAGAAACGGAATGAGGAAAATGTCAGGTAGGTTTTGTTTTTCATTTGTCTTAGAAAAAACAAGATTAAATACAAGACTAACTGAGTGGTTAGGAAGGAAAGCCTTTCTCGTATGCAGACATTAACTACTCTTTCAAAGGTCATTCAGTAATTGTCAGGTAGATGAATGACCATGCTAATGGGAATGGTGGTTAGTGTTGCTAAAACCCTTCTTGATGACACAGAAGCAGCAACAAACTCCCAGGGACCCACAGAGCGAGTGTTCCTCCCTGTTCAGTATTCAATAAATGAGAATTTATCTGTGGGCTGCTTCTGTCTTCACTTCTGTGTTCATTTGCTTTTAACCCAAGAACTGTGGGGAGTTGCCTCAGTAGAGTTAAAGAAACTCATTACCTCAGTTTGTGAACTGACTCTTATGATTTGTCACAACTTTAGATTTGTTGTCTGCTGTGGCATAAATGCAATAAATAAGATTGTTTCTTAATGAGAGAATTGCATGCCAAATGTCTAGTGCTGAAATGAGGTGCATGTTATTGCATGTTACTGTTACAGTATTGTTAGTCATATTAACATTCAAACTACTGCTGTACATTCTTTTTAGACCACCACTCTGATTGGCCTGTTGAAGACAGCTAGGCTCCTGCGATTGGTGCGTGTAGCCAGGAAGCTGGATCGCTACTCTGAGTACGGTGCTGCAGTCCTCATGCTGCTCATGTGCATCTTCGCCCTCATTGCCCACTGGCTAGCTTGTATATGGTACGCCATCGGCAATGTGGAGAAGCCCTACTTGGAGCACAAGATTGGCTGGCTAGACAATCTCGGCGTGTCCATAGGGAAGAGATACAACTACAGCGATCCTAGCTCGGGTCCCTCTATCAAGGACAAGTATGTCACAGCACTTTACTTCACCTTTAGCAGCCTGACCAGTGTCGGCTTTGGAAATGTTTCCCCAAACACCAACTCAGAGAAGATCTTTTCCATCTGTGTCATGTTGATTGGATGTGAGTATGTTATGGTCTTTTTATTTTATTTTAGCATAACTTTATTCTGCTTTTATCTGGCACAGCACTTGACATAATTGAAGGCATAAACAAACCTGTCTGTCTTTATAGCAGCAATTATCCAAGTAAACAGTGTGTCTCTGTGGGTAAAGGCAATAAACTTGCAAAGCAGTCTGTAGAATGTAATTCACCTTATTAATTGATCATTGCCTGTATTTCAGCTCTCATGTATGCCAGTATTTTTGGAAACGTCTCCGCCATCATCCAGAGGTTGTACTCCGGTACGGCCCGCTATCATGCTCAAATGCTACGGGTGAAGGAGTTCATACGCTTTCACCAGATTCCCAACCCCCTGCGGCAAAGGCTGGAGGAGTACTTCCAGCACTCGTGGACCTACACCAACGGCATCGACATGAACACGGTAAATAAAAAGGACCGCCATCATCTACCTACTACTGTAACTGGATAGGATACCCCCAAAAAATTAATTGGTCTCATTGAATGATCGTAGAAATACTGTACATGCAAAATTCTAAAAAGCGCTTTCTCTCTCTTCTCTGCTTTTCATCTGGATTAACATCTCTCCATTGGTAAGAGCAGGAGGTACATATTTTTATTTCTTGTCATTTTCATGGCTATTCTGCACTGTTTAAAATAACAACCTCATCATCCTGACGGTGTCAACATTAAAAATTTCTATCACTTAAGTATGATTCCTGTGTGAATTCATCTCATTAGTATAGTTTCATATGTTTATAAAGCAAAGAAATTATATTTTAGAGCAAAATATGTAAGTGTAAAACTACTGACATGCACTAAAAATGGCACTAATATTGTCACAATATAATTTTGTCTTATTTCAATTCCATCTGAAATTTTATTTGCAATAGTTTTATCATCAACATCTGTTTGCAATCAACACACTTCGTGCCTTGCAAAAAAATGTGTTCACCTGTGTCTCGTGTTATTTATTACTGTTATGCTCATTCTACCTACTTAAAAGAATTGTTTTTAATTAGCTGGAATCTCATAATGATGAAATGGCACAACAATGTGATATACAGTAGCCTATAAAAGAGTGGGATAAAGCATAAAAATTGTGATTATTAAATGTTGTTAGTGGTCAGAAGAGTCTGTTTTTCTACTTTAACAAGTTATGTAAAAATAATAATGCATGCAGTTAATTCTTTCTTTTAAGCTGGATGTGCACATCAAAAGACTGAATTTAATCCTTAGCTCCTACAAATGAAAGGATTTAGGGTATAAAAACGGCGTCTTTGTTTGTTTGCATTTATTACACAATTCAGTTTATCCTCACTTTGATATTATGTGTTACCAGCTCAAGAAAAGAAAGAGACGTAGCCAAAACTGAGCGGGCATTCTGCTGTGTGTTTAGCTCAGGGGGCGGTTACATAAATCCAGGTGGCACTTATTTTTACATTCAACATTTGTTATGAAAATCCCACAAAAAAGCAATTAATACATCTTGATATAATTTATATCAATGCATCTTAATTAAGAGACAGTTTCTGCTCTATTAAACTTGAACTTTCTCACAATACACTAAAGATGTGATGTATATGCATCCGGCTGTGTTTAATAGTCTGTGACTCTGTAATGTGTTTATCATCCCATGCCCTTATAGCTGTGCTATTGTCAGGCTTCATAACAACTTCTCTTTGCAAAAGTGCATTCATCTTAACACATTTGCTGCTTCCACCAGGTCACAGAACGATAATCTAAATGCATCTTTTTGAGGATATCAAACCAATATTTTATAGCATTTTACTCACAAATTTATGTCTGCATCACAGGTTTTAAAAGGTTTTCCTGAGTGCCTGCAGGCGGATATCTGCCTTCACCTCAACCGGAATCTTCTTCAAAACTGCAAAGCGTTCGAAGGAGCCACCAAAGGCTGCCTGAGGGCCTTGGCCATGCACTTCAAAACCACTCATGCCCCTCCTGGAGACACTCTGGTCCACAGCGGTGATGTGCTCACCGCTCTCTACTTTCTGTCCCGTGGCTCTATTGAGATCCTGAAAGATGACATTGTGGTAGCCATCCTGGGTAAATACAATCCCTTATTGTTCATGTATCATAATGTGCAACCTGAGTAGTGGGTGCTAAATGAATAGAAGAAGAGACTGTTGCGCATATGCTATGAAAGCTGAAATTGTTATAGGTGGAGAAAGCTCCGGAGTTTCTTATTTGGGCCAAGATAGATCACTTTTTTATTTGACCTTTTGCCAGTGCCCATCATCTGTATCATGGATGTAGCAACAGTGTCTATTGTTCTCAAAACCTCACCCTATCACAGGGAGGTGTGAACAATGGTAAAAGTCACCTCCCTATTGTATCGACGATCTCTCAGCTGAATGTCAGCATCAAATCTGTTGAGACAAAGACAAAACCCTTGTTCCACTGCTTTTGGTCTGATCTTGAAAATAACTCAGAGATGGTTTTGTCAGTTTGCATTATATTGTTAGTGCTATCAGTATGCTAAGATTTAGCTTTTTGTTTATAGTCAAAGAGGAAGCACTTACAGAAAGGCTAATATCCACATGGTAATTGAAGGTGGATTTGATGTTTAATGTCATGTCATTTCATTTTGCAGGAATATGTGCAAAGTAGTGTTTTAGACAGAGAATGTGGCTTTATTACAAACATGGATTACCACTGTTGACTTTTTGTGAAGAGTATTAATTATGCCGTTTGTTATGATTGATGGAAATATTGAATTATTGATCAAGCTAAGCT